ACCAGGTAAACGTACCTGCCAAAGTAAATGCACGGCCTGGGTGTCTGCGTACACAGCTGGTGTGCAGCTAGTCTCCAGTTTTGCTGAAATCAGGTTTTTAAAAAAGGTGAAGGCTCAGAGTGACATCAATTTTCGTGCATTAACTTCCAGAACATCTTCTACAAGGCTGGGTCCGAACTGCACCGGCAATGTTGCCATCCAAGCTGTGTGTGCACGCGCCAATGTGGCTGCAAACGTGCATATCCCTGCGTGTGTATGTACATGCCGCTGTATATACTCATGTACATCAATACTATGCAACACAAGACAAGGTACATCAATGTACACAAACCTTGACTCTACACCGTCTGTATACCCATGCCTATATCCGTACAACTACACAGAAGCAAGCAGAGAGAGAGAGAGAGAGGGAGATGGATATATACATATATGTGCATACATACATGCATACATGTGTGTGTATGTATGTATGTATGTATGTATGTATGTATGTATGTATATATATATATATTGTTATATATTGTTATATTATTGATGTAATATACTATGTATGTGTGTATATATATATATATTGATATCCACATACATACAGAAATACGTACATACATACATACATACATACATACATACATACATACAGACAGACAGACAGACAGACAGACAGACATATGCTATTACATATATGTATGTATATATATATATATGCACATATATATATATATAGATTATATATATATACATACATACATGCAGAAGTGGCCACAGCAGGCCTCGGCTTCGGTGCCCAGCTCGGCTTGAACCGCCACGTCCAGTGCACTGCACACCTGCGGAGCACAAGGCAGCGAGGCAACAGCGAAGCTGAAGCTGTTCGGTTCTTGACTGGATTTGATTTACACAACCAAAGTCCAGCAAGTGAAGAAGCGAAGATGAACAATTCATGAATGAAACCTCACACCCCGCCTGTGCTTCGGGGCTCTGCCGCGCCAGCACCCGTCGGACGACAGAGCGGACGAGCACAGAAGCCGTCCTGGCACATTCGGCATTCGACAGAGCTGCCAAGGCAGGAGCGGCAGTTCTTGGCGACATAGGCTAAAAGGGTGTAGGGTTTAGGGTTCAGGGTTTAGGGGTCTAGGATTAAGGGTTTAAGGCGTAGGGTTATGTTTCTTGCGCCACTGACCTTCACGGATGATCGGAAACATGCGGCAGGCCTTCGGTTGCTGATGATGGCCAGCTGTTCCTGCCAAGTGTCATGCTCAATCTGCAAACACCCAGCTCCGTAGCTTCCTCCACAACGGAGCCGCCCTGCGGCAGCATCATGTCTTGCACCACCCATTGCCCAATGAATGCTCACTCTTGACGCTCAAACTCACGGGATCCTCGTGGAGATCTGCTTGGCGGCTGAGATATTTGACCTGCTCGCTCATCTCGTGAAGGCCTCAGCACGCACAGGCCGGCCCCCATCGCTATGATTTTGTTGAATGCGGCTATCTATCGCACCTGCTAGAAGTATTGCTATATTCCTGCTGTTACTAGAGTGCTCGTACTGCTCATTGTCAGTGGTGCGATTCTGAAGGCACAGGTTGGCTGCGACGGCTCCCGAGGCTCGGGCCCAGCCGGCAGGTTGCAGCCTCGGATCCCCGGAGCAGCTGTGCCAGTCTCGCAGACCTCGCCTCACGAGCCAGGGCGGGCTCTGTCGGGGTGTCGAGGTTTCTGCACCGGGGGATTTTTCGTGGAGGCGCCCGCCTTCTCGGCCTCGAGCTCCGCCTCCAGGCGCCCCGCGGCCTTCGCCCGCAGCTCCAGCGCGTCGCGCTCGCGCTCCAGCTCTTGGCAGCGGCGGCGCAGCCCGGACTCTGAAGGCTCCAGCTGGCCCTCGGAGCGGCGAGCACTCCGCACGTGCTGAAGCTGCTCCTCGGCCCCGGCTCGCAAGCGTTGTTGAAGCTGCTGCTGCTTCAGGGCATCCGCCTCCCGCTGCTGCTGCCACCATGCGCTCTTCGTGACTTTCATCTCCAGGGCCTCTGTCTCAGGCCGGTTTTCTTTGTCCGAGGCAAAGAGGCCAGGGCCCAGTCGTGACGGCCAGCTGGGACGCTTGCACGCCCTGTCCGGAAGGTTCTCGGTCAGAACACTCTGCTTCACCATAGCCTGGTCCAGCGACTTGTGGCACTCGAGTACGGAGGTGGAGAACATGGCACCACGCCAAATCACAGGAGACTCACCAGCTTTGGAGGCCCGCAGGCTCGGCCAGCTGCAAAGCCTCGACAGCCTTAAGAGCTCTTCTACGCAGACGCAAACGCTTGAACCGGTTCCACGTCGCACAACTTGGGGTGTCGAATGCCACTCACAGCATCGCTTGACAAGGTTTTGTCTTCACGGACATGCCACCAGAAGCTGCAAAAACCTCTGAACATCAAAACAGCAAGCATCAGTCCGTGTAAGCATGTGCAAGGATTGGCCTCAAATCTGTTCGCCATTCTTTCACGAATGTTGTAGTTCCTTGACAGCGCATTGCAGCGACGTGAAAGACGTGAAACTGTCTGCCCCGAAATGTCACTTCGACCAGCGGCGTGCATTCCACACACTTGGGCTTCTCTCACGTTGCTTTGCATAGCCGTGTATCCCGGGATAACTGCAACCAAGGTGCTCATTCCGATTCATTGAATCAGCAGACCTTTCCATCGACCCTGGGAGTCTGACAGCTTTAAAGCTACGACACAAAACCACCGCAGAACCACGGATACAGGAACCCTGAAAGTAGACGCTGAGACGCTAAACATAAACAATGAGCCGGACCATGAAAGCCTCCCAACATCTGCACCTAACCGATTCCTACTTGAGCCGTAGTCGTCTCGGTTTAGCAAGTGCCAGTGGTGCAACTGCAACCACACCAATTAGTATCTCTTCTGAAATTCTTCCCGAGACTTGATTCTCCCCATGACAAGCAGATGTCAAGACTGGAAGCGCTAAAACTGATTGGAAGACACTTAGGCTCAAATAGGACCTGGTAGTTGCGCAGCGCGGCCATGAGCGAAGCGCCTGATTCAGGGTGCCGGAACTCAGAGTCTTGCAGTCATGCTGACCATGATGCTCGAAATGGTCAGGATACAAATCAGAACTATGAAAGATGACAAGGACAACGAAGACGCAACGAGAACCCGAAGAACAACGACAAACAAAAGAAAGCAGGAAGAACACCGATGATGACGAGCACGACGGCAACAACGACGACCGCATCCGCGACCAGGACCACGACGACGAGGACGAGCAGGACCAGGGACAGGACCTCGACCATGAGCAGGAGCGTTGATCGTCACCGTCATCGTTCTGGAATCAGCAGCAGCAGGAAGAGGAGCTGGCAGGAGAAGCACAAGGAGCACCAGCCACCAGCACCGCTGGAACAGCAGCAAAGCATTCTGCTGCGAACCCGAAGCCGAGATCCCGGCTGGCACAGGGAAAGGACCACCAAGGAGCGGCCGACCCCCGGCAAGCTTGAGCCATCACCCACAGTGCAAACACAGGCTGGTAATTAGCACAAGCGGACTCGGCCGAAGAGAGGGAGAGATGGAGACAAAGATTGCTGATCCATCCAGAAGGCTGCACTGAATGGTTTTGGGTTTGGGGCTCTTTTTTTGTTGCCGGGTCCTGCCATCTCCACAACGAAGAGCTCACATGACAGCAGCTTGTGTCTCCAATGACTTTTCTGGAGCAACGCGTCGAGCATGGACATCCAGCATTGAAAGATCATTGTCATGCATCTGCATGGTGAACCTTGATTCGTTTCGACGGCCTTCGCCAGCATGTGCCATGGTTTGCATGCCGATTATGCGAAGATGTCGGAATTGGAGATGTGCCTGGGCACAACAGGCCGAGGTTCCCGGCTGGTCACAAGCCTTACGATGACGGAGAGCTGTCCGCAACCACTAGCTTCTGACTCACAACATGGGATACACGGGCACATGTTTGCTACTCTTATCCTCAGCAACCTGCATCGTGCTGCCGCCTGCCCCGAAAATCATGGGCCGACAACCGCGGGACGATAGGGTTTGTGCGTGGGGGTGGGGAATTGAACACGAATCGTTTGCTGTGTTGATGCGTGCATGCATCCCTCCGCCGTTCACCCCTCAAGTCGCCCAGCGTAGAACCAAGCCAAGACCGCCAAAGTTGCGGAGTACCTTGTGTCTGAACCGTGCAGATGGCTGTCAACCACACTTGCAGCCGCCGGAAGCCCTGCGCAATTCATTGCCTTACACACCTGTGCCGAAACATCGGTTTGCCAAGCTGAAGCTCGACCCTTAAATCCGAAATCTTCAAATCACCTGAAAACCCTGCCCCTCGCTGAGACATCCTCAACATGATCGACCCTGAATCACGGGTGCTTCTGCGTGTCCTACGCCACATGGTGAAAAGCTTGAGTTATGCGTACTGGCAAATTTTTAAACCTGTGTAAGTACAAGCTCCCATTGCCTGTCTTGGTTTAATAAGATATTTGCAATGCACGTTTATCTCAAACGTCCATGTGGTTCAGGTTTGCCGATGACATAGGATAGGGAAGGCAAGAACAAACAACATCTTGCTTGCATGTACTATTTCTCCGGGGGCAAATTGATGGGCAACTCCGACCACGAGGCTGTAGCACGTCGATCTTCACATATTCCTAGCCCTGCTGACAACGCTGACAACTACCACCTGAATCCAATGGGCCTTTTTCTCACTCACCAATTCACTCTGCCGTGCGGCGGGCGGGTTCCAGGCGAAGGCACGACCTGGACAAAAACCGATTCCCAATTCCATCCTAAATGCTAGAACCATCGACTTATTGGAGTTCTCACGGTTGCCAACGCCACCAACTAAACCCACAGTGTCATGTCCCGAAGTACACAGGCAGACGAAACCCTGCTCAAACTCCTCAAACAACTCTAACAGCCGTCCAGCTAAACACTCCCTGACTTGTCCTGACAGAATTAAATATTGGCAGAGTTTGGGGAGTTTGCGTGACCCCAAACTCTCTGAACTCGTAAATCTGATACCCAAACCCTAAGGCCCTGAAACACCCCGGAAAACCCCTAAACTAAATGTTTGTACTCCTTAAACTCCCTACACTCCCCTACTCCCTGAGAGAAGTTAGATTAAGTTTAAAGGGTTTACGAGATTTGGAGATTTTGAGGACGGAGTTTAGGGAGTTTAGGTGGTCCATCCAACATAACCCTTCATACTCCCCTCTGTGGTGGCGGCGGTGGCCGTCGTAATGGCAGTCGCAGTAGCAGTCGCAGTAGCCGTGGCAATTGCAGCAAGGAGCAGAAGCGGGAGCAGGAGCAAGAGCAGAAGCAAAAGCAGGAGCAGGCGCAGCAGCAGGCGCAGGAGCGGTGTAGTACTAGTGCTAGTGTTAGCTCTAGCTAGTACTACTACTAGTAGTAAGTACTGGTACTCTAGCACGAGCACCTGTACTGGTACTAGTAAATAATCGTAGTACTCGTATAAGTACTTCGAGTCGTAATGGCATTGCCCTGCGAAAGGATTGGGCTCTGACCTTCTAGGTAGACAGACCGCGGTTATAACTTCTGCTTGTGCTGGCAAACTAGAGGCCGACATGGAAATGTGGGTTTCGCTAGCGTTACTTGGGGAGCGACAAAGGCCGCAGTTAAAGCGAGACGGTTAAAGACAGCCTATTAGACCGTGGACATACGCAGGCTGTATGGCTCCGCGTCCTGTAGCAACCGACATTCTGACAGGGGCATGGTTTGGGTTTGGGGTGTGGGCTCACTCAACACGTCATGGGACTTAAAGAGCGGAGAAGGCTATTTCGTACTCGGCTCATGGACAGCCATCCTCACTGCTGGATTTCGGGGATCTCGTGCGAGCACATGCTGTAAGTATCTGCATGCTGTGGCAGCACTGACAAGAGCATCAGCAGAAGCAGTAACAGTAGCAGAAGACTAGTAGAAGTAGAAGCAGCAGTGGAGGCAGCAACAGCAGTAGTTGCAGCAGCAACAGCAGCAGTAGCAGCCGTAGCCGTAGCCGTCGCCGTCGGCGTGGATTTTCGCGGTGGCAGTGCAGTCACAGTAGCTGCAGCAGCAAGGAGCAGGAGCAGGAGCCGCAGCAGGAGCAGAGCAGTCGCAGTAGTCGTAGGAGTAGCAGTAGCTGTGTAGTGGTAGTGCTAGTTACTAGTACTCTAGCACTAGTACTGGTACTAGGAATAAAAAGTACTGCGAGTCGCAATGGCATTGCTCTGCGAAAGGCATGGGCTCTGACCCTCTGGGTAGACAGACAGCGGTTATAACTTCTGCTTGTGTTGCACGACTACAGGCGGACAGCCAGCGTCACCTAGGGAACGACATGGGAAGCAGTTAAAGCGAGATGGTTACAAACAGTAGACCGCGGACATACTTATACCTATACTGCACACATCTCACTAACACTGTAGTACTTACATGGATCGAGAAAACAATATACTAACATTACATACATACGCAAGCAAGAAGCCGCATGCAATGTCCTACACAAGTAACCGATAACTACTTGGAAGTGGACCTGGCCCTGGAGGAAGAAACCGCTTTGTGGGTTCCAGCGCCACGTCGAAGCCTCAGCAGCTTTTAGGGTTTAGGGTTTAGGATTTAGGGTTTAGGGTAGTTGCTTTAAAGGGTCGGGTTTGCACTGCCCTCTGTGTCGGAGCTAAGGG